CCCCAGAACCAAGCTCCGCACCATGGGTGACCGGGCCTTTTCCTCTGCTGCTCCGAGGCTGTGGAACGCCCTCCCTGACCACCTCAGGGCCCCACAGACTACTGATGTTTTTAAACGAGACCTAAAAACCTATCTTTTCACAAAAGCATTCTACTAAATGTCTTTTATGGGTTCTCCTTTTAACTGTTTATCGTTTCTGATCATTTTTAATAATTCTTTTAAATTTTATTAATTCTAACTGTTTCAATTAGTTTTTTGGTTTGTTTGTTTTGTTTTTTTTTATCTGCTCTGTAGCACTTTGAGATTGCTAAAATGTAAAGTGCAATACAAATAAAATTTATTTTTATTATTATTAAAAAGAAATAATCATATAAAAGACTGACAATAAAATGACTGATGGATCCAGGTCATTAAAAAAAAATTAAAATAGAAATTTCAGTTCTAAAGTGTATTGAATATTTAACTGCACTTTGCTGGTTTGTCAGTTGGAGTTGCTTTTTAAGAGATATTAAAGATGCTTTTATCATGTTTTGTGTTCCAGTTTCACTTGTTCTCAACAGAGGGAAGCTTCTTGGCTCCTTTATCTACAACACTGATGGATTTGCTTTGAATTTGAATTTGATTTGAATTTGTACTCTAAGCGTTTATACAGTTGTGGAGATAAGCCCTTACTTTGCCTGTTATGGTCACACAGAGGAGGCTCATCACTCACCACGTAGCAAGGTGCAGACAGGAGACCAAATGTCCATCTCAACTGAACTGAATGTAACTGTTTTTGAGTTTAAAAAATGAGAGGACAATATCTCGACTGATGTCCCTCTCTTTTACAGAAACATACAACAAAACAAACATTCACAAAATGATGTCACTCATATAAAAGATTTTAAATGTCAAAAGACTGATGGAGCCAAAATACCCGGCATTAAAATGTGAATAAAAAGTTTTTGGGGGGGTGCAGCCTATTTTTTGCATGTTAGTTCAAAGCTAAGTAGTAGCCATCTATGTACAGGTGTTCTACACTCTTCACACCTTTGGTTTTCCAAAGCTTGAAACCACCATCAGCTCCTCCTGACTTAAAATTATCACTGCACACTAAAACTCCTTAATGTTAAACTAAAGAACACCAGCCTACAGATGAGATGACCAGGCAGGCAGGCAAACAGTCAGAAACAATCAGCAGGGGAAAACAAAAAACTCACAAGAGACATGAACAGATGACCCAGAGCCCAGATGCTGTACACCAGATACGTAGATACATTGGCCGTAGGCTGGTTCCCGTGTCAGAAGAGCCTGAGACACCCGCACCAGATCTGCTTCACAGAACACATATGACAGATTCCTACCAGGTGTGACGAATCAGTCAGCTGGTGTCACTAATTAGATGAGATCAACTCTGAGGAGCAGAAGCATGTGTACCAGATCACAGTGACCTGTCATACAAGTGCTAAACCACTCAACATCAAAGACTAATTATATGTGTGTGTATGTGAGGATGTTGTGAATAGTGTAGCATGTCAGCAGCACTGATGATGGTCAAGGACTGACACGTGTGAAGGATCTGCATTGATGTTTAACAAGATGATAAAATAAAAAGCAAAATATAACTTGTAATACTGCGAGCAAAAAGAAATAATCATATAAAAGATTGACAATAAAAAGACTGATGGATCCAGGTCATTAAAAAAAATTAAAATAGGAATTTCACTTCTAAAGTGTATTGAATATTTAACTGCACTTTGCTGGTTTGTCAGTTGGAGTTGCTTTTTAAGAGATATTAAAGATGCTAATATCAATTTTTGTGTTCCAGTTTCAGTTGTTCAACAGAGGGAAGCTTCTTGGCTCCTTTATCTACAACATTTTGAATTTGTACTCTAAGCGTACAGTTGTGAAGATAAGCCCTTATTTGCCTCTTGTGGTCACGTCTACCCTCCAAAACGATCTCTTTCTTATGATGTGACGCTAACGTGCCGTTTTATTTTATCTTACACCCACTGTTTGACTCACCTATATAAGTGAGCTGTACCCAGACGTCACTGACCCACTGACAGGTGTTTCTGCTCTACTCCACGAGTTGACGGAGATCATCATGAGGACGCCAGTGATTGCAGTTTGGGCAGCAGTGTTGCTCACTTACGGAGTCTCTACAGGAATTGCAATGGTAGAGTACTAATGCTGAATGATGTCTTGCTTCATTGTAACATCTGTGAGTAAGATGACCGTGAAACAAGATGATTTGTTCTTATAATGTCTATTGTTTCTTTGAAGGACCCTAAAGCCGGGGCTGGGCCCTCGGCTGGGGCAGAAAAGAGTCTAAAACTGGACATGGCTCCAGACTCTGTTGACGACATGTACGACAGCTGCAAAGATGAAATGTACCCGAAGCTCCAAAAATACCTGGAGAATGAGAAGAAAACAAACCAAACATTCAAAAAAGCCTGGGAGAGCTCAGAGCAATACCAACAAAACCATAAAAACTTGAAGCCACCTAATATGAAGGAACAACATATTGTAGCTATTCACTGTTACACCAATAATGAGAATAAAGTGTATCTTGATTTCAATACTGCAGTTCGAACCCAGGGGCCTAAGTACAACTCCACATTCAGGTATCACGCACTTCACTTTCTCCTGACCGACGCCATTCAAACTCTCAAAGGAGAAGAAAAAGTCCCATGCGTCACTGTCTACCGCCGTACTAGAAGCACTTTTAAGCAAGATGTCAACACGGAGATTCGATTTGGCTCTTTTATCTCAACCTCAATGGGTCAGTACGCCAACAAATCTTATGGAGAGACGACGTGCTTTAAGATTGAGACGTGCTTTGGAGCAGATATCTCCTCATATTCTGCACATACGGATGAACGCGAAGTGCTGATTCCTCCCTACGAGGTCTTTAAAGTGGTAGGGGTGAAGAAGAGTCCTATGCATAAGGATCTTCCATGTGAGGTGGAATATGAACTCAAAAGTACAAATAAACCTGTCTCCAATTTGAATTGTGCTCTTATTAAGAAGTAAAGCACTCTCACGTTTTACATACAGTTAATTAATCGTGAAATTTGGGGTTCAGGATGCACCATTTCAACTGTGGCAAATTATCTTTAGTCAAAATGCATGTGAACATGAATGTAGTTAACATTTGAACAGTGTGACAATGTCAAACTGACTTTAAACGCTGAACATACAGAGGTTAAGTTCAGTTCTACTGTGCAACAAGAGTTAAAGAAAAAAAAGTTGCATTAAAACTAATCCTTAAGTTGTGTAACTGTTAAAGCGGGTCT